TATACACACACACACACACACACATATATATATATATATGTATATATATATATATATATATATATTATTTGCCATTGTTTTCAATGTGAAATTATTTTCATGAGAATTAAGAATATTTCTGTTCTTAATTTAAAATACTTTTAGGTACAAATAGATTTTATGATTGAATCATTATTGTAAAATGTTTCTGGTCACAATTCTTTAACCCTAACTGATGCAGTTTGTAGATTTTTATTTTTCAAACAACAATGTCAGAAGACGTACCCATATCCATATTCCAGGATGACAATGTTAAGATTCATCAGGCTCAAATTGTGAAAGATTGGCCACCATAGAGTCCTGACCTCAACCCCATTGAAAGTCTTTGGGATGTGCTGGAGTAGACTTTACACTGCCTGTCCAAAAAACACACTCTCTAATATTTCATTGGACTGCCTTTAGCTTTGATAACATTGTGGTATTTTGTTGTGGCATTGTTTCGACAATGTTATGCAATATTACATCACAGTGATTATATCTATCAAGAGTTGCATTAATTTATGGCCAAGATCTTGTATTGACAATGGGAAAGTAAAGCCACTAAAGTCGACTCCAGCACATCCCAAAGACTTTAAATAGGGTTAAGCTCAGGTCTCCGGTGTGGCCAATTCATACATGAAAATGATTCCTCATGCTCACTAAATCACTGTTTCACAATTTGTGTCCAGTGAATCTTGACATTGTCATTCTGGAATATGGATATGGGTACATATTCCAACATGGTGGTTTAAGAAATGAGAAGCTTCACACTGCATCAGTTAGGGTTAAAAGAATGGTTGCAAAACATATAACCAGAATATGCCAGAAACATATTAATCACTGCAATAATGATGCAATCCTAGACTCTTCAGTATTTACTTATTTAAATCCAAATGGCAACTTTTTTTTGTTTTGTTTTGTTTGTTTGTTTGTTTTTGGCCAGGCAGTGTATAATACATAATTTTAGCATTTGCTATACTGCATTGAGTTATGCTGATTTAAACACAAATTCATTGTACTGCATTATTTTAAAAACACATTATTACAGTCATGAAAATTTAATGCAAATCATCTTAAGAACAATGAGAATTACAAAACCTTCAAAAAAAAGCATCTTGATGCATTACAGTAAATTGTTTAAGGATGAAATGTGCTTAATTGGCATGAATATGTCAGTCACAATGCAAATAAAATTGAAAGTGACAGAGCAATAAAATCTTTAGAATTTGGGGTGAAATGTGACTTGGACATGTTCTTGTGAGATTGAGTGTGTGTTTTATTAACTGACATTTTTCATGGCAGAAAATCTTGCCACCCGGCTACAGTCATCTACTTTGTCATCATGAACTGCTGGAAATGTCGGGGGATATTGAAAACTTCAGAGCGGCTCTTAAATTGCAGATGACTACTGAAGAGCAGGTCCAGAAGTGGTTGGAGGACTTCCAGAAGTCCTCAGCTTTAACATGGAGGAAATCCAGGACATACCCTGACTCTGGACGCTACAACAAATACAGAGTAAGACCAGTCTGTTTATGTACACTTTAAAGGCAACATAATATCAAAATTGAGCCTGTATACCTTTCATAATAGACATGCCTGTTCTTATTGCGCACAATTCATCAGTGTAATAACATTCTCTAAAATTACTTTGTTGAATCATCAAGCCACCTTGGCTAAGCAGACTCTTGGTTAATGTAAAGCTTTGGCCATAGTTATTGTAATAAAGAGAAATTTAGTGATGATTAACGAAAATGTAATAATGGTTGCATGATTAATAGCAAAGATGTTTTGGAAAAAAAGGGAATTAATGTTCAGTATTGAAATTTTGAGAGCTTGTGTATATTCAGGTGGATCTGAGATGCCAGCACAAAACATACAGTTCATCATCCAAGATGACCAAAAATACCAACTGCCCTGCCACCATGTTTCTGATTCTCAAGAGATTTATGTATGAAAGAAAGTCCAGGTGAGACCAAAACGAGACCAACGTAGTGTACTATAAATACAATACAATTCAATTAATCTTGAACACCCAAATGTTTGGTCACAATAAATTGAATTCACAGAAGGTCATGCAATCTATGCATTAAAACATAATACTTCATCTATCCTTCTACAGATCAGGAGACCCACACCTTGAAGAGGGCTATTTCCTTCATGTGAACTTGAGGAATGAACATAATCATAGACTGAACACAGCTGAGGCCATGAGGTGGAGAGATGTGTCGAATGACACCATTGAAAAGCTACAACAGCTCTACAAAAGCGGTCACTCTCCTTCATCTGCACTCAAGAATATTAAATACAGCCTGCAGGAAGAGGAAGGCGATAACTACATTTACGCTACTGCGGATCGATCCATCTGCCCAGACCTTCAGTTCTGCTACAGGTCAGTCAAACTAGTTCAAAACACGTGTTTCAAACTCGTAAAAAATCTTTGTAATAATTGCATTCATGTTTATTTCACACATTATTGGAAAAAGTTTTACACATAATTTGGTTTAATGATTTTAAAAAATGTCAAGAGGTGAACGATCACGTAAAAAATAATTTGATATATTTAATCCTAAATATTGTGATGTTTCTAAAGGATTTTATCATTTGATAAACTGAATTAACCTTAAGAAGACAATATATGTGAAATTTTTAAAAGACTTACTGATTTGACACATAATCATAGTCATAATCCTCCCTGTGATGCCATTATGGATTTGTACATTTTGGTCACATGATGCTGAGTTTGAATTTGATTTTATGGACAAAGGTTTTCTATATATTATATATACACATTGTTGTTGTTGTTGTTTTTTTTATTTTCATTTTAACACCACCTAAATCAGTAGGTCTGTGAAAAATGGCTTCACATCAATTCTATCTTATGTAAATGTGCATTTTGTTACTATTGAATATTGAATCATATTTTTTTATTATATTTCACTACAGATTATACCACAAGCTTTTTCAGAAAGCATGTGCTGAACCTGCAGGTGAGACAATTCTGGCAAACCTGGAGTATGTGTGTATATATATAAATACATAGATAGATAGATAGATAGATAGACAAACAGACAGATAGATAGATAGATAGATAGATACCTGTAAATAGATAGATAGGTCAGACAATGTGCAAATGGAAGGCTATAAAAATAAATATACTGAATGTATCTGTGTAGGCTAGGTTATAGCCTACATGAAGGGTTAAAATGTAAATATTACTGTTACAGGAGCAGAGGTAGAAGACTCAGAGGTAACTGTTCTTATACAGGACTTGATGAGATCTTACTGCTCTTATAAAAAATATTCTATAAATGTGGAACAACAAATGTCTAAAACACGTCTAACAACAAATGTTTTAGCATAATGTATATTTTATTTTAGTCAGAAATACTGCCCTGTGCCCTCATAGTTGCGCTCAGACTGTTTGATGTGCATGCACATGCTCCTTTAGCCAGGTCTGTGAAGTTTAGCGGAGACTAGCTCGCTGTCAGGACAAGCCTTTATCCATCCATTCTCCAAGCCACTTATCCTCTTTGCATCCTTTAAGCAAAATGGAAATACTCACATGACATTCTAACATTTACAGATGAGAATATCTAAGTTATGAATAAAATGTGAATGAAATGTAAGGGTAAGGCACTTTAAACTATATGCTCATGAAGCATTATTGAAGCGCTTAAAATAAAGCATGTCTCATATTTAGGACCATTTGGATATTGCACGTTCCCTGCAACAGCTCACTCTGCGTACTCGCTATTTTTCAAATGTGCTTGCAACATCACACCACTCTATATTCTTATAAACAGTTGTCTTGTGTTTATGAAAAGATGTCGATATATCTTACAAAGTAAATATACCACCCAGCCCACCTTTTTGCTTAATTGTAACTCAGTTACACAAAAAATAGTGTGCATATACAGGATGTTTACTTTAAATTGAAAAAGTGTTACAGATATATTCAACATTTATGCCTTTTTTAATTTAAATTAAATTGCATCCACATGCCGAAAACTGTTGTTTAATTCCAGTTTTTTTTTTCTTGTGCAATATATGGGTGTCTGTTCAGGGAAGGACATTTCAGATGAGCTTTTTAAACCCTTAGAGTTGGAACAATCATGGGAGACAACAGCAGAGACAGGTGAATAGGAACATATTTCATGCACCTGCTGAAATAAAACAAGACTACTTAAATAATAGTTGTCTATGAAGAGATATTATAGAAGAGATTTCACATTGTTCTTTCTCTAAAACAAGCAGAAGGACACACCACATGCATTGAAGATGGAGTGTCTGTTGATGCTGTGCCAATCATCACCACAGGTGAAGCAACTCATCTTTGGTCACTTTGTGAGACACAGTTCACATATAGTATAGATATGAAACAGACCAGTCAAAATGTGCTTATTGTGGTCTTGTGACTCTGTATGTGAGCTGTGTCTCAGTGTTTTCTGAGATACAGATTTAATATGGAAGCAGACATTTTGTTAAGTGATTATTACATGGGCTATTACAGTATGTACACAGTCTTTCTGTTTTTAAGCAGAGCATTTCACAGAAGACAATGAGCCAGGCCCAAGTACGTCATTTAAGCATCTTACATGAATAATCTCACATTAATCAGACTAAAACTGTTAACAGTCAACACAGTCATTAGCATTGTATCTATCTGTTTAGGTGCAGCTGAAGAGGTCGTTGGGTCTTTAGATGGGCAGCTTGAGGAGATTTTTGGGATGCTGAAAAAGAAGCTGAACGAGGATGCAAGTTTTACACCGCCTATAAGAGCTTTTGTGTCCAGTTTCTTTCAAATAAAGACTGACAGTGCTCTTCAGGCATCACTCTTTTCCTTTGGTAAGGCCTCTCCGATAATCAATCAGATCAATGTACTACCAGCTACGGGTCCACGGAGAAGAGGGGCTTTGGCTGGACGAAGAGCTGTTGGCAGACCTCCAAAGAACTCAAGAAGAGAGCACCCATACTGCAACAGCAGATCCAATAACACTCCCCAAACTCTCACATTCTGTTTGCAAGACAGTAACACCCTTGAGAAGACAGACTAACCTCCTGTCCCCAACACACCACCGCCACCAGCATGTGGTGGGTTAAGAGATCCAAACACTATATAGAAGCTATTAAATCAATAAGCCTTGAGAAGCTTGGCATGAACATCGTGAAACCTGAGCATTACAAGAAATCAGTGTTTACGCCATTTATTTTATATTTCTGGTATTGATGTGCACAATTCAACAATGCACATTATTCTAAAAGAGAAAACATTGTTTGTAATTTTGATCATAATGTAATAAACTGGCTCCATTCAGGTATGAAACACCCACTTTTCACCATGCAAGTCAATTGACTGAATAAAAATCAAGTTACGCCCTTCATTTTTTCCCTATTCATTGAATGTTCTGTTTCAGTTTGTATTGTAATATTATGACTTTATATAATAATTGCACCTATGCTGGCCACCATATATTTCAAGGTGTCCAGACACCTGTAACTGTTACCTTTTAACAACCCTATACAAACAGAAAATGTGTTTCTGATGTCTTCATTGTCCAAACCCATGTAATGTGAATGAGCATTACTGCTTTTATGTCATATTTACATTACATTTAGTCATTTAGCAGACGCTTTTATCCAAAGCGACTTACAAATGAGGACAATAGAAGCAAAAGAGCAACAATATGTAAGTGCAAATGAGAAGTCTCGGTTAGCCTAACGCAGTACATGTAGCAAGGTTTTTTTTAATATATATATATATATATACACATACACACACAAAGAAAAACAAGAAGAATAGAAAAAAATAGATTTTTTTTTAAATAAAAAAGATTAAGTAGAATTAAAATAGAATAGAAAGTGATACAGTTAGAGGTTCAAATGAAGATGGAAGAGATGTGTTTTTAGTCGTTCTTGAAGATGGCTAAGGACTCAGCTGCTCGGATTGTCATATATGTCTTGTCAACCAAGTTTATTTATATCCAATACTGCATCAGGGCTCTGTGTGGTGGCCATTTTAATGAGGTTTAAATTTTGGCAAAATGTGACAAAATATCGTGCAAATTCATGGCTTTTCAGTACCATGAATAAGATGGTTTAAATAAATAGTGTAGTTGTGCTTTGTAAGCAATGTACAAATAGCGTGTGCTACTTTCATTGGAAGACGCATTAAAATTCTGTTCGAAATATAGTTATAGATACTGGCCTTTGTAAAGTACATTTACCAATAAATACATTTATTTTGCACTGTTGCCATGCATCTTTAAATGTAGTTATCACAAAATAATATTTTGAAAATTCGTTAAAAGCAGGACACCATCAAGGGAACTTTTTTTTTTTTTTACATTTTATGAATTAGAATGCATTAACCCTAACCTGGTATCCTGTCTAAGAATAGTTTCTCATAGTAATTTAAAATGATTTTTTTTGTTGTTCACAGGAAAGGTGGATTATCCAAGAAAGCCATGTAGTTTATAATGTGAAGGTTATTTCAAATGGAAATCCATTTCACATGTTAGCAACTATTCCAACAAGCCATCAAGTCAAAATCTTTAATTAGTTTATTTCACAGATGCCGAACCCCAGCAGATTGAAAAGGTTATACAAAACAGCCCAGCACTTGTACAGTTAAAAAAAGGCTTTACACAATATTGATAGAATACGTTGAATTCCCCGGTTTATTTGATTTTACTGAAAGCTGCGTTGTGATGCATTAAGGCTGTGCAGCTGAAAGTATAGCTTCTGTCTTGCAGTCCAGTCATATCTTTCCTGGGTCCTCCTTGAGCGTAACGGTTCTGTTGAACACCAACTGGGGAGAAAACAGTGACAAAGATGAAGCATTGCTTTCCTCCACTGTATGTTTTGTACATCTATTGAATATATTTTAATGTAATTGAGTGTTTCTGGAAGTACCTTTTCAGATGTGCTATCAGGGTCAACAGAAAAATAACCCACTCTCTCAAACTGAAACTTGTCAAACACTTTGGCCTTGCCCACAGAACGGTCTACTAAGGCACTTTCGATCATTGTTATGGAATACTAAGAATGACAAAATAGGAAAAACTGATTAGATCAAATCTTTTAAAAAGTTACAACTGAAAAGAGGAAAGTGTATATTATTAGATTTAGTTTCTGCAGTTGCTTGCTTTAGTTTAAAATGGCATAAATTCATTAGTTTGTGGTGGTTAGGTATTCACTACTACTACTGCTCATATACTTGGGGTTAGAAGTTTTTCAAATTCTTAGATCAAACATTTTATATAATTTCTTCCCTTACAGGGTTAATGTCACTCAGGAATCCAGCAGGAACTTCAGCTGGGTCCTCTGGGTTTTTATGGAGAAACCTACAGATAGAAACGAGAGAGAGTGAGGATGTGACATTATGTGACATCATAAAACATTCAAAGTAGATTCTGGGGTTTGTCAGCACACATGGAGACTTACAGTCTTTCATACAGGCGCACCTCACACTGCAGTGGATCGCTCACCCACTGAATGAACGCTTTGGGTTTTTCTACAGAGTCTGAGCTGGCACATGACACCTCTAGCTCACACACATTACCACAGCCATCCTGACAGAAAAGGAAGATATTAAATAATATTGTAATTTATAATGCATTATTCAACAGTTAGTTCTGAGTTGATCCTTAATTTTGTCTGAAAAAAAAAAAGAGTGCTGAAGTACAATCACTGTTCGTTTCACTCCACCTGCCTGTATTTGCACTCTTCAGTTTGCTTTCAGTCTGTGATTTAGTGGTGGGAATTTTTCAGTGACCCTTTTATCATTATACCAGTTGGTGGTGACAAGTGAATGCATTATAAGTTAGTCACTGAATCATTAACTCACCTGATTTGTTCAAATACAGAGTTAATCAGGAATTACACAATTAAATGAGAGATTAATCAAATTTCATAATATATACACTTGCTAAGTTTCACCTTGAAATGTAAACTGTCACTTCTCACTCATAATTAGGAAGGTGCACTCTAGCCTCAATTATGTTTTGAATGGTGCATCAACTTGTGAAATGAAAGGGCAATAACAAATTAAACAAATGGCTATTGCATTGACTTGTCTGTATCAGTCAATGTTTGTTATTTGCCTTCATAAGCAGACTTTAAACCCACAACATACTAATTTTGCATTCACACGGTATAGGAATTACAGTAATTAAGCTCTTAACTGGTAAAAACATTTTTTTTAAAGGCATGTTAAATGTCTAATCAACTGAACCCAGTAGATCATGTGAACTACAGGAAAGTGAGTGGTCTTTCACCTTGATGACACGCTGCACAGAGATGACGTATCCCGCATGTCTCAAGCCTACTGGCTGATCTGGAGTCAGGCGCTTATAGCCCTTCTCCATTACCTGCAGCAAATACACATAAAACAGCAAAAATAGGGTCAATTCTGCTTATATGGGACGCTAATCCATGTATAAAAAAAATTTAAAAAAAGGGGAAAGCAATCTTAAAAAGAAAAAACCTCTCTGAAGTCACTCTGCTCAATAAAGATGGTATTTGAGAAGGGAACCACGTGACTGCCCTTGGCTTCATTGGCTGGGAAGTCTGGGACTCGAACCTCCTTCTGAATAGAGGAGAAACAAAGCAGTTATGAAAGTATGTTTATGCATCCATCTACATATCCTAAATTATATTTTACTGTTGTCCATAGCAACATGTCATTGCTACCTACAGTCTTTGTTTTACCTACAGTAAATGACCTGAGGTACAGTATTATTTTTAATAGTGAGCATAAATCTATAAAAAGCAAGAAAGAGCTGGATGAAGGAAACCCGAAATGATAATACTAAATACTAACTAATTCATAGAAAAAAGCAACAAATTATTATATATAAACAAATACTGTAACATTGTTGCAGTGTTTGTCTTTTTGCAAAGGAGATTGTTTTCCATGTTGTAACAGACTATTTTTTAACATAAGCTTTTAGCTAAACTAGTTAGATTTAAGCTCATTAAATTCAATTACATTTACTCACTAAACTCGTTAAAATATTAAGTACATGAATATTTAATTTTCACCTGTTTATTTATTTGATAAGTAGCCACTTAATAAGCAGAACTCCAGTCAGTCATTACAGCAAAACTGCAGGTTGCTGAACTGTTGGGGTTTTATTTTTGCAATAATGACTGGCTAGCTGTATAGTATTACATGTAATGAACTTCTGCATGTGTTCACCTGTGCATTGGTTGGCAGGTTGGTGATGGTGACTTTGAGAGGCTCGAGTACAGCCATGGCACGTGGAGCGGTGTCATTAAGCACCTCCCTAACACACGCCTCCAACAGGTGCGGCTCCATGGTGGTCTGAGCAACAGTCACACCCACCTAAAGCAGAACAACAGATGCTGACAAAGGGTAACAGTTTCTAATAAACAAGTCTTTTAATGGCTATTAAAGATTTCATTCCATGGACCTTGCAAAATTTGACAACTCCAGCTATTAGATCAGTGGTTCTCAACTTTTACTCCAAGGTCCCCCACTAAAGCAACTCAGGCATATTCACAGGTGCTCCATATAGGTTACGATATTTCTGCTTATTTCTGTTGTACTTTGTCAGCAGTTTTTTTTAACATTTACAGAAATTAGGAGTTGCAATATATTACAATAGTTCTATAGTCAAAATAAAAATAATTTAATAATTTAAAATAAATAAAGAGCTGAATGGCCCATACTTTTCCAGCTGTTCATGATTGTGGGATAAGATTTTTTAAAGTCACATTTTACTTGCAAATAGCAATTTCAAAATTATATACAGTATATATATATATATATATATAATTTTTTTTTTTTTTTAAAGGAATG